AATTGATTCACATCTCTGTGGCAGGCTATATATCCTTAATCATGGAACAGTAAGATGAGATTTTTGTTCATTCATCTCACATTAATTACTGGTCTTAGCAGAAGATTAAAGAAAATGAAGTCACCTGTGACTTTGTTCTTCATCTTCTTCAACATTGTTATTTTTTCTTCTTATAATGTTGAAGGGAATGATGAAGTATCGGCTTTGCTGTTGTTAAAAGCGGGTCTGGTTGATCCGGCGGGTCAGCTTAAAGACTGGAGATTGCCAGTGAATGGTTCCGATTACTGCAAGTGGACTGGAGTGGGGTGCAGCTCCACCATTAATGGAGCTGTTGAAAAGCTTGACCTTTCCAGCTTGAATCTCAGTGGCGGGATATCGGACCAAATCTCTTCCCTCAAAAGATTAAGTTATTTGAATATATCATGCAATGGGTTCTCGTCTACTTTGCCGGAATCTCTGTTCAGTCTCACTTCACTACAGGTCATTGATCTGAGCCACAACTCATTCTCCGGCGGATTTCCCTCCGGCCTCGGAAGGTTAGGTTCTGAACTGATATCGTTGAATTCTTCAAGTAACAACTTCTCCGGTTATCTCCCAGATGACCTTGGAAACGCGACGCTTCTCGAGAGTTTGGATTTCAGAGGGAATTTCTTCGAGGGCTCCATTCCTGTTTCTTACAGGAAATTGGGGAATTTGAAGTTTTTAGGGCTTTCCGGGAACAATCTCACCGGCCGGATTCCGAAAGAGCTCGGAGAGATTTCTTCGCTGGATACACTGGTTCTGGGATACAATGTGTTTGAAGGCGGGATTCCGGCGGAGTTCGGGAATCTGACGAATCTCAGGTACCTGGATTTGGCCGTTGCGAATCTTGGCGGGAAAATCCCCATAGAGATTGGAAATCTGAAGATGTTGAACACACTGTTCTTATTCCAGAACGGTTTTGAAGGAGAAATTCCGGCAGAGATTGGGAAGATGGAATCGCTGCAGCAGCTGGATCTCTCTGATAATATGTTATCAGGCGAAGTTCCTCCAGATATTTCAAACCTGAAGAACTTGGAGCTATTGAGCTTGATGCGGAATGGGTTGTCGGGTTCGATCCCCGATGGGATTTCAAACTTGGCAGGATTAAAAGTTCTTGAGCTATGGAACAACAGCTTTTCTGGCCCGTTGCCGAGTGACCTCGGCCTGAAGTCTCCACTGGAATGGATAGATGTCTCTTCGAATTCCTTCTCCGGCCCGATTCCTCCATGGATTTGCAGCCAAGGTAAACTCACCAAGCTCATCTTGTTCAACAATGCTTTCTCCGGCCCTATTCCGGCCGGGTTATCCAAATGTGGTTCCCTGGTTAGGGTTAGGATACAAAATAATCTCCTTTCCGGGACGATCCTGCCCGGTTTCGCAATGCTCGGGAATCTCCAGAGGCTTGAAGTTGCAAACAACAGTCTCTCCGGCCAAATCCCGACCGACATAGCTTCATCTCTTTCTTTCGTTGATCTCTCGAGAAACCGTCTCCAATCCTCTCTTCCTTCATCCATTTTCACCAATCCTTCTCTTCAGAACTTCATCGCGTCCAACAATGATCTGGAGGGAGAAATCCCGGATCATTTTCAAGGCTGCCCTTCCCTCTCAGTCCTTGACCTCTCCTCAAATCATCTATCAGGAAATATTCCATCCAGCATATCTTCATGTGGGAAGATGGTGAAGTTGAATCTAAGCAACAACAGAATAAGCGGGGCGATCCCAGAAGCAATAGCCAACATGCCCACATTAGCCATTCTTGATCTCTCTAACAACACCCTTACGGGTAGGATACCTTTCAACCTCGGGAACTCTCCGGCCTTGGAAACACTCAATGTGTCTTACAACAACCTCGATGGTCCCATCCCTGACAATGAAATGCTCGGGACAATAAATCCAAATGATCTCCGGGACAACTCTGGTCTGTGTGGAGGAGTGCTCCCCCCATGCTCCAAGAACATGTCAAGGCACAAAGGTTTTCATGAGAAACACATTGTAGTATTCCTTATTGGGATTTTAGTACTCATAGCTGTGGTTGTGGTCGGTTTCGGGCTAAGATTCATTTACAAAAGATGGTATGAGAATGGGAGTTGTTTGGAGGAGAGATTAGAAACTGGAGATGGAGAGTGGCCGTGGAGGTTGATGGCATTCCAAAGAATAGGGTTCACAAGTAAAGAGGTGTTGGCATGCATCAAAGAATCAAATGTGATAGGAAAGGGAGCAACGGGAGTGGTTTATAAGGCTGAGATGCAGAGACTGAGCACAACTGTTGCGGTCAAGAAACTATGGCATTCGGCAACAGACATTATTGAGATGGGATCATCAGAAAGCGAAGACGTGGTAGGTGAGGTTAACGTCTTGGGAAGATTACGACATAGAAATGTGGTGAGACTACTAGGATTCCTGCACAATGATCGAGAGGCAATGATAGTATATGAGTACATGGAGAACGGCAGCCTTGGGGAAGCGTTACATAGTAAACGGCTCCTGGTGGACTGGGTGTCAAGGTAGCTAGTTGAATATTAAGATCTTACAAACTCATAGGTAGTATGTTATTTTCTGATATTTGAATGTGGAACAATTTCTTTAACAGGTATAACATAGGTGTCGGGGTGGCACAAGGCCTAGCATACCTCCACCATGATTGCCACCCGGCCATCATTCACCGTGATGTGAAGTCAAACAACATCTTGCTTGATATGAATCTTGAAGCAAGGATTGCTGACTTTGGGCTGGCGAAGACTATGCTCGCCAAGAATGAGACAGTTTCCATGGTTGTGGGATCTTATGGATACATTGCTCCTGGTGAGTTTTAGGCGGGTACATTTTGTTAGGTCATCATTTAATCACTAGAGTTAACTCATATGTGTTGTTTTCATACTCCCTCGTTTCACTTCTATGTATTCCACTTGTTCTAATTTCCGATTTTAGCAACAAACATTGTATAAAAACATAAGTATTCTTGTTTTTGTATCTTCTTTTCTCAGCTTTTCTTACATTTTCATGATCTATCTCCTTTATAGTGTACAAAAATCTTACTTTTTTTGTACACTATTCTCTACTTAACTCTTAATCTCCGCTAAAAAACTTTTGGATTGAGTAAAAGTGAGCAGTGAGAGTATTTGTTTAGACATTCTAACTAGGACCGCTCCTAACAAGAGAGTTTGATATTTTAAGATGAAGTTTTAGATGTCAATAATAATTATTGGCTAATTATTCTCTGTGCAGAGTATGGGTACACGTCTAAAGTTGATCAGAAGAGCGACATATATAGTTACGGGGTTGTGCTTATGGAGCTTGTAACAGGAAAACGGCCATTAGAGCCTGAATTTGGAGATTCGGTGGACATTGTCGAATGGATGCGCATGAAAATCAGAGACAACAGATCGCTAGAGGAGGCAGTGGACCCGAGTGTGGGTAACACCAAACACGTACGGGAAGAGATGCTGCTAGTCCTGAGAATTGCCTTACTTTGTACTGCAAAGCTACCCAAGGACAGACCTTCCATGAGGGACGTCCTATCGATGCTTAGAGAGGCGAAACCTCGGCGGAAGGGCAGTAACGCCAATGACGGAGTTGGCATGCCAGTGGTGTTTAGCACATCGCCTGTAAATGGCCTTTTGTAATTTTAAAAATAACAGAAAAAAATACAAATACAAGAATGGCCAGGCTGTCCAAGTAATCTTGTCATTGTAATGATTTTCTGAAGTTTTTGTATGTAGGCATATGTACCTAGTTTTAACAGGGTACTGCATTGCATCTGTATGCAAGAATGACAGTTTATTTTGCATTCAACCAGCAGGGAAATATTCGTCCAGTATTTATCAAGTCAATCACCCATATGTTGGTGTAATACTTTAATTGATAAAAAGTGTGTCTTCACTTAAGTAATGCCAAGCAACAAGGGGTTTTCATAAACACTGTATTTAAAGCCCATTTTGAACAATGGAGTTGCTTAAAATGGTTGCATCTATTGAGAGTAGCAAATTTGCAATTGAAATAACTGGATTGGTTAAAAGTTAAAAACATTTCTTGAAAGGAAATACATAAACTGTTACTCATTATGATTATGACCCGGAGGTGGGGGTGGAATTAATTTGAATCACTAATGATAATGATGACCCGAAACTGTTACTCATTATGATTATGACCCGGAGGTGGGGGTGGAATAAAATTGATACACTAATGTTAATGATGACCCGGAGGCCGGAGCTTAGAGAGGTGGGGGTGGGGGTGGAATTAATTTGAATCACTAATGATAATGATGACCCGGAGGCCGGAGCCCTGGTCGGTACCAAGCCTGTATAATTTTGACCCGGAGCCCGGCCCGACCCGACCCGGGTCCAGTCCACCACTCCACCCCTAATGAAATTGATGAATCACTACTGCACTTAAGGATGGACTCGGGCCGGGTGACCCGACCCGGAACCGGCCCGAACCGGCACTGTTCCGGCCCAGTCCGGTGGCCCGATCAGTGACCGGTTCAGGTAGGCCCGGCCCGCTGGGGTTCCGGTCCGGGCTCGGGCCCCTCAAAACGTGAACCGGCCCGGCCGGTTACCCGGGCCGGTTCCGGGCCTCCCCTTTCCTGAATCGAGGCCCGCCCGGGCCCAGGACCAAACCGGGCCCGAACCGGGCCGGGTCCATGCCTAATTGCACTACATTTCATTTGTCTAAGTCTAGTAGATTTATCAAAATTTATGAAATTCCAACTAAAGTTGTTGAATAAAAAAATAGTTTTTATTAATACACTAAAGAAAAAAATATATATGAAAAATAAAAAAATAGTTTTTATTAATACACTAAAGAAAAATATATATATGAAAAATAGTTGAAATCACCAAATACAACAACTTTAATCATATCAGCTAAAAAACGCTTATTTTAGTTATTAACCAATTCATTATCCAAATTCAAAAGTTGCATATTTAGTGGGAAAAAAAACTATAATACGTACTTGATTTTACCAAATTAGTTTGATAATTCTAATCCATCAATTTCTAAATTAATAGTCTCCAATTCTTTAAATGATAGCTAATATATCCTCGGGTACATAAACAAAACATAAGGCACAAAATTAACAAATACTCCGTATATCAAAAGAGAGAAATGTAATGCGCCAATTTTTTTACATATAAACTAAGAACATTAAAAACTACAATTGTCAACAGGGAACGCCCATCCACCATGAACAAAATGGTAGAGTACTAGTTTTCATGTCCCTAACTCCCTAAGAGATCAGGTCAACTCCACTCTGAACCACACCAAAACAACACTCTTCAGAGATTCATCAAAATCTGACTTCTAAACTCTGCCCTCCTCAATAGTAACTGCCATAATAAGCAGCTCCTGCTGTAGGAGGAGCCGCTGCAGGCGCTGGCTGCTGCACAGGTGTTAGAGTTGCTGCAACTGCAGGCTGCGCATAATTCTGCACATCAGAAGGGCCCGTTTGAATTTCAGAATAATACTAGGGAAAGAAAATAGCAAGGACAACTGGAAGAAAATAAGAAATTATTCGCACAAGAGTAAAAAATCTAAATTCTACATGTCCTACAAAAGATAATATTAACCGACTTTCATTTTCCTTTGGATTATCCAATGTAAAACTAAATACATGAAAATATACCCTCAAAGTTGCCATTTGCCCAGGTTATTTCCTTGAACATCAAATATTATTCTTCTTTTAATGGATATCCCAAAGAATTTACCTGTGTAGGATATGTTGAAGGATAAGCTCCATAAGGCGCAGCTTGAGGTACTGATGTAGGAGGTACTTGCGTAGCTCCATAAGCACTTCCGTAGCTACCATAGGCATTATATGCAGCCGTCTGAAACAAACCCAGTAAAAGATGCTAAGTCAAGGAATTGCTAATATACAGAACTAATCATACCCTATGCTTCAATTATTTCAAAATAGGATATTATCAATAGAAAACTTCGTAGTAATCCTCAGTGTTTCGAAATTGGTTTATTGGGTTTAAAATGGTTTAAAATGACATTTCTTTAAAGGACTACGCCCCACCAGCAATTCACTTTGGAACCAAAAGATAAGAGAGAGTAGAGAGCGTAACACAAGCACATTAAGTTGCACAAAAAGAAGAAAATATTTATCACCCTTGGTTCGCATTAATCATACTAAGCAGATGAAAACCCAAACCAAACCAAAAAAACTGGGGGTGATAAAATGGTCAAACAGGCAAGCCAAACTAAGGCCTCGGCAAAAACGAAGTACTGAGAAAAATGAGCCCCATGGTACTGCTTGATAAAAAGTGGCAACAGTATATTTTACTTGTTGGGTATAGGCAGGATTCCACTGCTGAGCTTGAGCTTGAGTTGTTTGTGGCCAAGTTTGGGGCTGTATGCCGTAACCTGCAGGCCACTGGTTCTGCACAGCAGCAGGATATGATGCCACTGCTGATACAGCAGCAACTGGGGTACCAGCTTTAGCCAACTTTGTCTTGTCAGAAGCCAGATAATCATCTGCATGACGCTTCTTTGACTCTAATAAAGATGTTCTGTTACGTAAGAAGAGCTTGGCATGTCGATCATCAGCTTTCTTGATAGTTTTTGTGTCCCCAAAAAGGTCCAAAAACTGCAGAAACCAGTATAATTATTACATCAAGGCATGGAACAAATCTTGCAAAATTGACAATATTAACTCTGAATACATCAATTAGTTTTAAAACTTGGCATAAAATAAAATTCATTTAGTGTTAACCATAAATAAGGGTAGAGTGGTCATTTTGTAAGACTCCTTAATGTGTGCATTTCTTTTCTAAGACGTCAATTATTTTGGGATAGATGGAGTAATTACCAATAGATTTCGTATGCCACCACATCCATGAACTCTTGTGAGATAAACAGTTAAACACAACCATCTCCAGGCACAAGTTTTTTAAATCAATGCATTGCAAAGTAAAACGTATTAAATAATCACCTCCAAATAAATGCTTGATAACTCTTCTCTTTCATCAATGCTTGCAACAGTAGATGCATCAATTGTAGGAACAATGAATCTATCAACTAGAGGATCCAAATAATTGATTCTCTTTGTATGTGGCTGAATTGATTCTAAATGGATGATTGCCTACAGGACAATGAAAGAGAGAAGCATGCAGCAAGAATGCCAAATTAATATGATAAACAATGACTCCAATAACACTTTTGGGAATGCACCAGGCCATTCATTTCAGGAGCACGGGAGGGGACAGAAAGATACCTCAAGAAGTGGTTTAGACAAGTTTCCATTTTCAACTGCCTGATCAATGATTTCTCTAGCTTTTTCCACTTTGCCAGAAACCTTCAGATATTTTATCGTAAAGAACGCACAAAATAAACAGAAACCAGATATAACCCATGCTACATCAATTTTAAAGGCATCCTAATGACAGGCTAAAACATAGTATTAAAACTACAAAAGCAATCAGACTTCTCTTGCACAAGGGATATAAAAGGATAGATCTAAAACAAAAAAAAAATAAACAAAACTTCACTTCAAAAGGGGTATTGTTTTAAACAACATATTGAGGGATGAAGACAGCCATGTCTGCTGCACTCCACGAAATTGCTAGATAATTTCCTTTGGTGGGGAACACTTCATTCAAACCTAACCTATTATCTAAAAGAAAGAGAGTACCCTGACCACGAAACAAAAAGACTTGGTGTGTGAAAAAATGAATTTAAAACCTTTCCAATTATGAATGGTCACCAAACTAATAAGACTAAAACTGGCTAAAATTACCTCTGTAACTCTCTCAACCAAATTAAATGCAAAGATGGCCAAACTCATGGCAATTCTCAATCTTACACCTTTTGCAAAAAATTGAACTAATAAGACTACACATAGCTAAAATTACACATTCGTAACTCTCATACTAAAGTATATATGTAGATGGACAAGCTCATAATGATTCTCAATCCTACAACTTTTGTCAAAATAACAAAATGAATATTAAATTTGTTGATTAGACAAACCAAGAAAGTGAAAAGGTGTAGCTGTCAGGATGAAAGAGCCTTTTACTATGGAATAAAAGAAGTGGAAAAGGTATCAATGCAAAAGTGCTTGGTCATACCCCAAAAAATCATGTTACAAAAAGTAGACCCAAAAATTTGTCATTTTCATCCAAACAAGCTGCTAATTTTTTATTTGATTTCCCAAAAAAGACAGACAAGTTCAATATGACAAATTTGGTCAAACAAACAAAAAGATTTTGTAGGATTCATGATTTAAAAGATAAAAAAGATGCCACTCAAGAATTAAAGGCTAATAAGATGCATACCAAGTAAAGAAACCGGGAGTACTGGGCAAACAGTAAAGGTAAAGATTGTGAGTGTTCTTTTGCTTTTTCAATTGCAATAGCTTGCTCATATAGAGAACATGCATCATCAAGGTTTCCCTGCAATGATAAAGAATCTAAATAAAACACGAAATACACAAAGCAATATGCAAAAACAAAACAAAAACTCAGCATGTAAATAAAAATCCATACAAGTCGATGTTCCATGTTGGCATGTTTAATAGTTGCTTCCAAAAGCCCAGGTGAAATTTCAGAGTGAACAAGTTGATATGCAGCTCGGGCTCCAGGAATATCACCCTGCTGTTCTCGAAATCGGGCAGCAAAGAGGTGGATTTCAGGTTGTCTCTGTATTGAATAAAAAACTGCTAAAATCAATACATCACAATACACATAAAAGAATATCAATCAATAGGGTGATCCTATAGAAAAACGGAAAACGATATGCCTATCAAATCAAAATTGAGAAACTCATCAATTTCAATTATATTAACTAATATTTGTGAGGGCGCAAAAAAATTTATAGTAGCCACATCATTGTAATGTTGTTGATATCAGCTTAGTTTTAAAAGGCGCAAGGCACATCGAAGCCATTTAGGTAACCAGAGTCAAGAGTCAAGACGCGAAAACACCATTGCAAAGCAGTTGATATAACACTAGTTTCAAAGGGGCAAGGTGCATCAGAGGCGATTTGGGATCAAGGAGCCGAGGCGTGAAGGGAAGAAGTGTGTCTCACAGAACTGAGGTGTAAGAGGAAGAAGAGGAGAAGAAAAGGCAAGCGCCTCCTGGAACGGAGGAAGCAGGAGGAGAAGGGGCAGAAGAAGGACAATAGCCCTGTGCCACTGGCATTCTGATGAGAGAGAGATCTTCATTCATTTTTGTGACCGAAGACAAAGATGACAAAGATCACTTTAAATAAATAAAAAAAGTATGAAAAAGATCTAGGGTTCCAAGAAGGACAATCACTTTTAAATAAATAAAAAGTATGACAAAGATCTAGGGTTACAAGAGGGCAGCAGAGGCGCTATGCCTCATGTCTACAGCAGAGGCACGTGACTCATGGAACCTACTGCGCGCAGACTTCCTGGGGCAATATATTTTACTGCCTCGCACACCTTGTGCCTCTGCATGCCTCCAGGGCGCTTTATAAACTTAGGATATAACAACCTCCACCTACTGAGGCGTGAAGGGAAGAAGTGTGTCTCACAGAACTGAGGTGTAAGAGGAAGAAGAGGAGAAGAAAAGGCAAGCGCCTCCTGGAACGGAGGAAGCAGGAGGAGAAGGGGCAGAAGAAGGACAATAGCCCTGTGCCACTGGCATTCTGATGAGAGAGAGATCTTCATTCATTTTTGTGACCGAAGACAAAGATGACAAAGATCACTTTAAATAAATAAAAAAAGTATGAAAAAGATCTAGGGTTCCAAGAAGGACAATCACTTTTAAATAAATAAAAAGTATGACAAAGATCTAGGGTTACAAGAGGGCAGCAGAGGCGCTATGCCTCATGTCTACAGCAGAGGCACGTGACTCATGGAACCTACTGCGCGCAGACTTCCTGGGGCAATATATTTTACTGCCTCGCACACCTTGTGCCTCTGCATGCCTCCAGGGCGCTTTATAAACTTAGGATATAACAACCTCCACCTACTCACTATTATGAAACAAATTCACATAAGCAATATCAGTCACACAGATAGTGATTATGGAGCACCTGTTAAAAACAAACAACAATACCTTCACAAAAACTTGAGTTGCACGAACAATGGCATTATCAGCAAGATCCATACTTCCACTAGCCTCCATGCACAAAATATATCTTATCCAATATTCAGGATAATTCGCACAAGCAATCAGGCATCGCTCATACAGTTTAACAACCTGACATTCACAGAAATTATAGAGTCAAAAGTTCGCATTCCAGCCAAACGAAACAAATAAACTTCAAAACAAATAGATACAAGGAGAAATTCATAATAGTACTCCGTTGGGCGGATCATGGAGGCCCCTCTATTATCAATGAGGGACCGTCCTTGACTGACATGGTTAGGAAGATAAGAGACCTGCATGCATAACATTTTGACTTTAAAGCCGGGATTACACCGTACAACACATCATGAACCTAGAATGTCGACTCACAATGAGAATTTGAGGTACTTAGCCTTACAGAAAGCAAATTGGATGGTTCCTGCGTTATCCAAGTTCAATATCCCGTTTTAAAGATGCTTCATCTGATGACTTAGCCGATAAATCATATGGTGCAGCTATTACTTAACTGTTAGTCAATACGAAATGAGGACGGAAAAAGCTAACCACATAACTGAAAAACACCCAGTATAACAGTAGTCCCAAGTACCTTATTGAAGTCATCATTTCCTTCAATGAAATCAAGATAATTGTGCCAATTTTCGAGCTCTGCAGAATTTAGGGGGCGAACATGGAAGTAGGGTCTCCTGATGGCAGTTTCAAACCCGATGATCTTAGAATCAAACTCTTTGGCCTTCTTATAGATCTCTTCTCTAATGGAGATGTACTTCTCCAACTCCTCTGCATCCTTTAGGCTTGAACTTGCAGGCTTCAAAGACTCTGTAGTAGGATGAACCTCTCCTTCAACTTGTTCAACAATGGTGGTATCAGAACCAGTAGCAACTGCTGCTGCTTCCTTTTCTTCATCAGTACGCAATTCTGATAGTGGCCTACTGGCAACCAGCTCCTTGAAACTGTGAAAGGATTGCAATCAGCCAGAGAAAAATCATTTATAATGTGATAATACATTCAGCCATTCAGGCATTCAGTATGTCCTTTGTACCCTCGAGGGTATTTAATTCACTGGATTAATCGCAACACCAGTGATATATTTCACGTTATGCTCATAAGTTGAAAAGGTGTGACAATAAAGAACAGAACAATATGGATAGAATCTTGATCTTCAGATGTCTTGAGCATCCAAGAAACCAGTACAAACACACAAAAGCAAAATGCAATGCACTTGACTTTTTAACGAAAGTGACATAGGAGCAAGGTTCGAAATTGCGTATTGCGTATTTGAGGCGGTTTCTTAGCATTGCCTATTGCGTAAGCCTCATTGCGCAATGAGGCGTAAGCCTCAATCTTTTAACAAATTTATTTATATAAAAGAACAAATAATGAATTAATACTAAACTAAATGAATATTATTCAAATAATGTAATTAATACTAGAGTAAAAGAATATTAATGTAACTAATGTCATAATAATGAAAACATCCAAAATTGAGGTCATAAACCCACCCAAAAAATATGTTCTAACATTATTCAAAATAAATTCTTTCTAATTTATTAAAGTTCTAGTTCCTATACTAGAGCAAATAAAATATTAACAATATTTTGCATCCAGTTATCCAGTACGTATTGATGTGTCAACAAATTCCACTAAGGTGGCAAAAAAAATTCAGTACGTATCATATGTTCCACTTATGTATTAAAATAACAAAAATGAATAAAAAAATATTACTCCTTATAAAAATTCCACTATGTATTAAAATAATAACAAAAAAGAATCAATAGTATTACTCCTAATGATTTAAAAATTCCACTATGTATGATATGTAATAGGAGCTTACCCTTCAAAGTAGCGATCCAATTGTTGATTTGGAATTTCCAGAACCCGTGTGTAAATTGTGGCAACATGTGGCCATGATTGTTGTGTATACTCATATTCGAGGTACTTATCCCACAAAGGAAATGATAGGTAGTCTGTTCCAACATAGGCTAATGCTCTTTCAAACAACCTGAACACAAGACCAAGAAGCAGTAGAATTACAAGCTATGGACTTTCAACATGTCATACAAATTACAAATGCATTCAAGAACATTGAAGAGGATGCATTGATTCATCCAAAGAGCATGATACTTCCAAACTTTGACACAAGTACACTGCATTTACCTTCCTCAACACTACCATACCAGGTCTCGGAAAGAGCACTCATAGATCATCTTAGCCTTATCGGATGGACCTTCTTGGCAGCAATTGTATTTCGATGCACCTCATGTGCATTAAAAACAGCAAAAAATCATGGAGAACTACATGGACTATGACACAGCCCTAAGGACAAGGGAAAATATAAGGGGGAGATAATGCCATATTAAAATGAATCCTAATAAATTCAGACAGCTATCGGATAGAATGGCCAAGAATCACAAGTTATCACGGGTGTGCATTCCAAACAAACCTTTACACCACATGTGAAACAGTTGTTGCATGGTTGCTAGTATGCTGAAATAGGATTCGAGAGGAATCGAGCACACTCTAGTGTGGGAGAGAGGGACACCATTGAGAAATGATATCCAATGCCAATAATCCCCCGAAAAATAAAACTAATAAATGAAACAAATTAATGAAACATACCTTCTAATTGTTTCAGGATCTCCATATGTGTTTATGGCAAATACACAATAGTGCAACCACATATCTACAGAATATGTCACTCCTTGAACTGCTCGCTCGTATACCTCAACAACTTTATCCATAGAACCAATCCGTGCCTCATGATCTGCATACTTCTTCCAGTAACCATAACACAAAGGAAACTCCGCCAAAAATGTATCATAAACTTTACGAATCTTCACAATGTTGCCCTGCACATATTGAAAAAATATCCATATCAAAGCACAAGAACATGCCAAAACAGGTTATAAGTAATTAAAAAACAATAGTGTATGCCCCCATTTCTCCTTCTAGGTTTCTTTCATTCTTTTCCTTCTGTTTTTAATCTTATTGGGATGGAGTAGGGACTGCTACCAATACAAGTATGCAAGTAACACCAAATAATGGGAAGCACGCTAAAACCATACCTCTGATACTTTCTCAGTTTCCTCTATAAGGGCAGTCCAGGCACCAAAATCTAGAGAATTTGTTCTCACAATGCTCCATAATCGGTCCTCCTCATGAGATATTGCTAAAACATTTAGATATCAAGATTTCAGTAAGTCATGCTGACAAAGTACAGGTGGTAAAAACAGAACTAACGCTGAAATTCCAAGCACAAGGTACATCTCATCCATTTATACATTGTAAGGTGTCCAATAAATCACTAGACGAAGACCATCCATCATTCCAAATATAAATAAAAAATTGGAATTTAGAACAAGTAAAGAAGGAAACGTTAATACTAATAATGGCCAACAATTGGTTAGCACACAGATAAGATGCCACTTGCTTCAAAGTACACACTCCCTCTATCCCTTTTTATCTTCATTCCTATTTCCTTTATTCTGAAGTTATATCCTCTTTCAATTTTGAAAATGATTCATTGATATATATTGCTTTTCACTAAAAATAGTGCATGGTCAGATGAGGAAGTTAATAAAGGGACAGAGGGAGTAAGAAACTTTGGATACATATGAATGGTAAAACACTCCACATTCACAAAATTACACACTTGAACTTATGATTGATTCATTACCGGAATCATCTACTAGCTGATGCATTGTGGTGGAATCATGAATACTGTCTGATTGTATTCCATTTTCTATTACACTGGTGAATACTGCATCTCTCACTTCGCTATTATTTCCATTTATAGAAGTAGTATATGAGGTAGCTTGAGATGCATCTACTTGTCCAGTGACAGTAGGGATTTCCTGCTGAGCAGAGTCTGTAAAATTAGCCGCACCTACATCAGAACTTCTATCCTCATGTGGCGCAGATGTAACCGGATCTCCAATACTAGTATGTGTTGCTGAATATTCTACAGAGGTTTCAGGAACTACATTGTTCTCCAATTCAGAAGTATTTGAACCACCGATTTTATGATCGGCAGATTCATAATCCATGGCAGTTGAGGATTGAGTCACCACAGTGCCTTGATCAGTCATCGCTAAGAAACGGCCTGGAAAAGTTTCAAGAGAGAAATGAATTATTAAGAATGCTAACAATTAGAACTCCTCATTGGGTTTTAAAATCAATTGTAAATGTTAATGAATGAATTGCAGATGGTAAAGACAACTGGAGAAAATACTGTGGAGTAGCACGATTTAAATTAAAATTCATAACTAAAGTGGAAAACTTTAGACATTTATGGTTTTAATTAGCTAAAGTTTCATATACTCATGCCGGTTACTCTTAAACACGGGGAACTCTAAGTAAAATAGCGTAGCTGCGTAGATAACAATGAGAACGGATATATAGTACTGCATCTTGTTTTCTTAAAAGGCCTGCAAAAACTGACCAAAGAAAAAGTCTAACAAATATCAAAGTAGACTATCCGGTAATGAAGCCCTCATGCTTATAACTAAAGTATCGATCATTCTTTTATATTTGCATTAACTTTTACACTTTTGATGTTTTCACTCAAATGTATAGATGTATAGTAGAATTGTGCAGGCTGTAGAAAAATGTGAAACTCTGACTAGTAGCTAAGCAATATTGGTAGCAATTTTGTGGTCCAAAATTACAAAATTCTAACTTTTTAAAATGTATACCAACCCGAAAAAATGGAGCAAGAACAGCTTGTACACTCACTAAAAATCATATCTGGCTATCAATACCTAGTCGAACTCCTCTAAAAAAACAAAGGGAGCTCAAGATTCTAAAAATGAGTACAAAGTAACGCCATTAGAGAAATATGTACGTTGTGTAATTAGGGTTTCAAGAGTACACCAGCTATCAAGGGAGTTTACAAAGTGTTGACTACAGATTACAGATTGGTACCTGGAGGAACAGAGAGAGAGCGCGGGAGTAGATCTTCCAGGGGATTTAGGTTGCTTAGCAGTTTCAGCCGGTGTAGAAAGATGTCTGCTTCACTTATGGAGGTTTACTGAGTTTCGAAGATTTCCGCTTGGGGTGTACAGGGGAACGAGTGAAGTAGGGTAGTCCTATTGTGTTTGCAGATTTTGTTTTGGTTCGGCTAACTGAACCCCATTGGGTAATCCTAGCAGATCATGGACCTGATACTTCCAAGTTTTGAATGATTTCAAATTTTCAATAATCATTTGACCCGGCCCATTATCAATTATTTTAGTTTGGCAAAGGCCACAAAACTTGAATTAATGTTTTTAAATAAGATATATGTACTCTTAAAATATTTTTTCAAAACAAAATGTACTCTTAAAATCAAAATTATAAAATCAAAAATATCAATAACATTCGTTATGATCCAGTTGTTCGAAAGGGTGCGGGTCGTCGGTACCACCATTGATGGGCAGGGCAGGGCAGTATAAATAATATTATAAATAATATTTTAGAACATTGAATTTAGGGATGGAAAAATCTTTATAAATGTATATATGGATTCGTGAGATGCATAACTGTTCCCACACCTTGATAAATGTTATCCACGTACTAAATTACTTCTTACAACATGTTTACTTCACGGGTTACTAAACAGTGATTATTAAGACCCGCGTTAATAAGCGGCGCATAAAATAAGCAATGTTGTAAGATCGAGTTTACATCATAGGGTTTAAAACATCGTTTAACATTAAAATGTCCAAAATAACCCTATACATATATAGACGCACAAACATTCATGAACACAAGTATATAATATAATATGTGGGGTCATCTCATACATGTACCCATACCCCTAACCCTTACGCCACTTTATACCCCCACGTACCCCTACCCTACACCCTACACCCAATTCCACACCCTTGACCCCTACCCTACCAATATCACGATAGGGGTGGGTAGGATGGCGGTAGCGTGGGGTCGGAATCGGGGGTGACGCTGAGGTATGGGATGTGGTGGTGGTGGGGGTATGGTAGGGGTGGGGTAGGTGGGGTGGTGTTGGGATCGGGGTGGGGATAAGGTAGGGGCAAGTGGTAGGGAGTGGGGGTAGGGTCGTGGTTAGGGGGTAAAGGATGGTGGGTAGGGTGGGGTCGGGTAAGGTAAGGTAGGGTGGGGTCGGGGTAAGGGGTAGGATGGAGGTAGGGTTGGGGTTGGGGTCGGGGGTGGGGCCGATGTAAGAGCGTGTGGTAGGGTGGGGTGGGTCAGGGTAAGGTAGGGTAGGGGTAGGGGTAAGGTAGATGGCAATAGGTTGGGTCGGGATCGGGGTGGGGCTGAGGTAGGGGGTTAGGGTTAAGGTAGGATGGCGGTTAGGGTGGGGTCGAGATTGGGGTGGGCCAAGGTAGGGGCATGATGGTGGGGGGTTAGGTGGGGTGGGGTCGGGGGTAAGGTAGGGTAAGGGGGTAGGGTAGGATGGCGATAGGGTGGGGTCGGGATCTGGGGGCCGAGGTAGGAGCATGTGGCAGGGGGTATGGTTGGGGTGTAGTAGGGTAGGGGTAGGTAGATGGTGATAGGGTCGGGATCAGGATCGGGGTGGTGCCGAGGTAGGGGGTAGGGTAAGGTGGGTCGGGGTTAAGGTAGGGTAGGGTGGGGTTAGGGTAAGGTAGGGTAAGGGTTAGGGTGGGATGGCAGTAGGGTGGGGTCGGGATTGGAGTGGGCCGAGGTAAGGGCATGTGGTAGGGGGTAGGGTAGGGGATGGGGTCGGGGTAGATGGCGATAGGGGTGGGGTTCGGGATCGGGGTGGGGCCGAGGTAGGGGTAGGGTAGGGATTGGTCGGGTAGGGAAGGGTAGGGTTAAGGTACGAGGATGGAGGTAATGGGTAGGGTGGGGTCGGGGTTTGAGGTAGTAGGGTTGCGCGGGGTGGGGGTAGAGGGTAGAGGGGTAACAATAGGGTAAGGGCAAGGGGTAAATTTGGAAACTGAAAAAGTTTAAAGTGCCACTTAATTAATACATGAGGGGTGGTATGCTTAGTAAGCAGCACTTTAAGCACCTCTTTCGGTTAGTAAGCGGCTTTTTCCGCAGCGTGCGTGTTTACTTCATCTATCTTACTAACCTAACTGTGACTTTAGCAACGAAGTTAACACCTCCTTAGTTTCATCATGGGTCCAATTCGCATGAATGAAATTAAAATATCTTCCTAATTTATCGCCTTATCGGCATTTCCGGTGGATTTTAAACTGCAATGACTTACCACCTTTGGCTTATTAAATTGGAAACATTAAATAATTTATTGAAGGTACGTGGGAGAGCAGTTGAGAGTAAAACGAAGTGTAGTTACACTCATTTTTAACTATTTCCGATATATATTATCTCTAGTCTATCTTAGGCGATCGATATACACGTATTTGTATATCATTTTTATGTTAGTTTATCATTTACAGATTGTTGGCAATGGGTACAACAATGATGCCTATATGTCAAGTGTGAACGTGTTTTGATTGAGGTTGTAGCGATCAGTCCAATTTTCTGCATATGGACAACAAATAAGAAATTCAAGTCAAACATTTTTCAAGGTACGGAGGGGTGTGAAAATTCAAACAAAGTTTGGGATGAAATTCTTTTTTTTTACCCCGGAAGGCAAACCACCCATCGGTGGGGCAAATGCCAGGGAACATTTGTCGGTGTTTTATTAAAAGGATTGAATTACAAAATAGAGAGGGGGACCAAACCAAAACCTCCCTACAAAGGCATTACACGGTAAAAGACAAAAAGTTTGGGATGAAATTCATTTGTACAATATCATTGTACTATGTTTCATTCATGTGTTAGAAAAAAACTGTATTATTTTGTATCTATCAAACAAATCTATATGAAATAATTGACTAGCTCAAACACCATATTAGATTTATTCAACTAACACAATTACAAATTCAGGGGCGGGCCTCTTTTGTTCAAGGGTGTTCATATGAACACCCAAATTTTTGAAAATAAAATGTAAAAATACATATATAGAATATACCTAGTATGATGTAATAATTTTTATATATATTTTATGTAATATTTCTTTCTCTCAACCTTGTTTTTGGGATTTTTAATGTTGGAAAAGTTACATTTCTCAATTGGTGAACTAAACAATATTATTGTGTAATAGATAAAATAATTTTGAACACCCTATATTTCTCATTGCAATTACTTTTTACGCCATTAAGGGTTGAGGTGTCACCACTACCATCATACATGACTTTTTACGTCATTGCAACACAGTTAACTTTATTCTGCAATTCTAAAAATGTATTTGCCCCATCAATTTAAAAAATACAGGAAATGAATCTAAAAATATAGTTCACAATATAAAAGTATAAAAATAAATATCAATGGACATGGCTCCAAAAAGTACATGACCATTTAGATAACACGGATCTTCTTAAAGCAAAAACTACAAAACTATATTTTCAGTTGACCAATTTGCAAATAACGAGGATTAATAGGTATTTAATAGATTCAATCTTAGGAAGATCGTGAGGATTAATTGGTACTTACAAAGGACTAAATTGGAGTTAAGTATTGAGCCTAAAATAAATATCTTATTGGGCACACTATGATTCCAAACTATTTGTTTGTGAGATTCGTCAAGTGTAAAAGATGAAAACTTCGTGTAGGTAATTCCACATTATTGAATACAAAAAGTAGATTATTCGATCAGTATTAACCTCATCGTTGTAGATCCTATGCTTAAATTCTATAGATTTATGAGCTTTGGGGGACCATGACATAGTTGAAAGAAAACCGCAGTTCAGGATTTGACAATGCAATGAAGGTGAGTTAGAGAAGCTGAGAGAACGGGATGCTCACTCCTATTAGGGCCATGTTTGGTAAATAGCGTTTCAACTTAAAATTGGCGGGTTTGACCAAATTTAGCGTTTTTAATCAGTCAAAACGCTGAAATTATGTGTTTGGCAGATGGCGTTTTACATCGACGTTTTGATCCGAAACGCTGAAATAGAAAACGCCACAACTTGGAGCGTTTTAGAATCGGCGGATTAAAAAACGGAATAAATTCTCATGGTTACCCTTCTTTCGTTTCAATTCCGCAGACCTTCTTCCCTCTTCTTCAATGTTCCGCAAGTCCGCATACCTTCTGAACAAAAGTATCGCACCGCTAGCTTGCGTTCATAATCTGCAGGCTTCCGCTTTTATGCCACGATTTCAAATACTTCGTACTACGTATATCACTTCGTTGTACATGTATATACTTTTATACTCCGTATGTATGTGTGATTGGATGGGTATTATATATGGTGTACAGGGATGTAAAATATGTGCAGATTTTTTATATAAAATACATCATACATGCGTCTAATCTCGTCCACCACTTTGATTATACAGAGTATTTTTGTTTACTTATTCCAATATTTTTATTCAGTTAGTTTTTTAAATTATTAATTAACTCACACATACACTAAAATGTATTAATGTCCTTTTTGTCTTTTTATCTATTAACCGCTATATGTAAACAGCTAAATTACCAAACACTTTTTTACAACCCGCCAAATTAATCCGCTGGTCAAATCCGCTGACTCAATCCGCTATTCGGAACCCGCTAATATTATCCGCTAACCATTAACCGCTAACCGCTATTTGCCAAACAAGCCCTAGGTCTCAAATAGTTGTAATGGGTTGAAAATAAAACAGTTTTGTCCAACTGGTGTCGTTATTATTTTTTTTTGGGAAAACCTCCAAAAAAAAGAAATTTACATCTATAAAAATGTCTATTTATATTCTCACAATCTAACTATCATTTTTGTGTTTAATTGTTCCAAATGAAATTTGAGGCGTATGTTTGATTTCTAACATACGAAGTATATGTTTTTTTTACCATATCATACGTATTTCAATTTCCTTTTAAAGTAGAAATTTCTTATTGTGACATGCCTTATTTAGAAAGTAGAAGGTAACTATAATGACAAATGTATCTGTGACACTCCATAAATTTAATAAAATAAAATTTAATATTAACTAAGATGTAGTATTCATTTGTGGATAAAATTTTCTTTAGTTATGTTTCGGGACGAAACATCTTTTAAGGAGGGTAGAATGTGACACCCCGAAAATTTAATATATATATATATATATATATATATATATACATATATATACATATATATATATATAAATTATACTTCGTACTACGT